GGGGCGGCTCCGCCGGCAGCGCCTGCCCCGCCGCTCGCTCCGCTTTGTCCTTCCTGCCTGCGGCTTCGTGCCGCCCCTATCCGAAACGTGCTCCAAAAACAGGAGCGTTGCCCCCGTTCTGCTCTGTGAGGAAAGGGGTGACCTACCCAAACGCCTGCTGTCACCCCGGCCGCAGGGATGTCTCCCAAGGTCCTTAACAAGTGAAATACATTCCCGAGCTGCTGTTTCCCCTCAACTGTGTGACATTCCCAGCCCTTTGAAAGGGGAGAGAGCTGCTCTGGAAAAGGAGTCACCCATGGAAGCAGATTCCTTGCCCTGGCGGGAGGTGTTGGGAGAAGAGGTGTTTGAATCCAAGAGGAACCTGTGGGAAACCTCTCCACCTTCACCACGAAATTCCAGAGAGCTTGTTCACGGAGGCAGAGCCTCGGCGAGGCTGCGAGCGCAGCCGCAGGTTCCCAGCAGCATGTGCCGACAGACCCAGTGCAGACAGTCTGACTGCTCAGAAATCAGAGTTTCAGCCCATAACAGAGGGGTGAGAGACACCACATCTGCTGGAGGCTGCTTTCCTGCCCCTTCTCCCTGTTACTGTCTGGAAACCACCACGGCTTCCATCAGCCCATGTGTTACCACCAGAGGATCTTGCTGCTTCTTGCCCGCAAGCTGCCACTGTCTGGAGTGGGGTGGCTGAAGGAGCAGTTGGCTAGTAGGAACATCAGGCACCCGGAGGGCTAGTCAGGCTGGGTAACACTGTGGGATTTTCCAGGAAAGCCCCATGTTAGTGTCAGGTAATTCACTGGACTATGGTGCTCAGAGCCAAGATTTCAAGATGGGACACGGTGACTGGCAAAATCTGTGGGAGTTCTCAGTGTAGAAACTTTGTCTGGAACACCATCCCCATGGCGTAGGATTCAGTTTGTCCCACTGTACTGCAGCCACATAGCAAAACATTCTTTGAAGGGCAGAAACGATACCTCGCTGTGCCTCAGATTCAGCACTTGGAGAAGAAGCATTATTTCACCTCTGGAGTCATTGGCCCAGACTTGGTTTGGCCTGTTTTGGAGGAGCTAAAATGGCTGCAAGCATGTTCTGTCGAGTGCTGGAGAACCTCCAGGGAGTCCACACACAAGGGACAAGGTTCTCTGCAGTCCCAGCACGAGTCAACAAGAAAGCGCTGGGCACAGGCAGAGTGGAGAGCACAAAGGAGCCATAGGTAAATAGCAGCCACGCTGAAGGTTTCTGCAGATGTCATGGCAAAGAAGAGCTTACTGGGGTGATGAGATGGCTCTACAAATGCATAGAGGCGTAAGGAGTGAGTGGGGCAGGAGAGAGCATGAAGGAGCTTGTTGGGAATGGGTGATGGAGTCTGCCTTTGTTGCATGAGAGATGATGGGTGGAGGAGAGGTGGATAATGAAGGGTTGGAAAGGGGAGATGAGCAGTCTACAATTGGGGCAGAGAAAAGAGGGAGCCAGGGAGGAGTGTGGGGAGGAATGATGTGGTCTACGCCATGGGCAAGCACAACAATTTTTGCAGCAGCCTTCTGGATACAAACCAGCAGATGAAGAAAAACTTTGCAAGGCGTGGACATTGCTGGGTGGTAGGAGCATACAGAGCGATGCAAGCGGAGTCCTCACATCACTAGAACAAGCTGCAAGATGCCAGTTTTATCTTCAAACCAGTGTCCTGAAAGGCATCTCTCCCCTGGCATCCCAGCTGGACTCCTGGGCCTTTGCAGGGTGATGTGCCTGCTCGGTGTCTCCCAGGGACAGGCCTTGTTGCTCACTCCATCTTCAGAGGCTCCTTCTGCCCAGTGAAATGAAGAGATTTTTAAAATTGACAAGGATCCGGAAGCTCCTCAGGGAAAAAAAAAAAAAAGGGAGAGAAGAGAAATCTGCTGTGTGATGGCTCCGGGGCTGTGTTCATATGTTCAGTAACTTATGAAAACCAGCTCTTTGGGCTGGTTCATTGACTGGCAGGAATTAGAGAGCTAAGCCACTGCAGGGCTGGTAATTAGCTGCTGTCTAAGTGTTTTTGTGGAATCAGGTTTCCAGTGCGAGGGGAAGAGGGAAGCATTTGTAAAGTGAGCTCCCCGGCAGCCGCAGGAGCAGGCAGGGCTCGTGGGGCAGCGCTGCGGCCCGGCCGCCTCCGAGGACACGCGCTGTGCCTCCGACAGCGCAGCTTTGGCCTCTGTGCTGTGTCACAGGACACAACATCCCCAGTCCTTGCTGGCTCGGCCCCTGCACCTGCCCTGGGAGCTCTGCTCGGTGCTCGTGGCCGTGGGGAGGAGCTGGGAATGCTCCGGGTGGGGGGAGATGAAGGAGTCGCAGGGGACGCAGGGACCGCGAGACATCCAGCCGTAAGAAATGAAAGTTCATTAGTTCCACTGCTCACAGACCGACTCACTGAAAGAGGCTTCAAGCTGAGCACGTCCCTTTAAGCTGGGTCTGTGGGACCCTTTGATTTGGTTAATTAGAGGCAAAGTTTTGCAGTGCCGTGGGAGGAAGGGTATGCGCTGCAGAGCGCAGCTACCGCCGCTTTGCTAATGAGATGATTTATGGGGCTGCCTGAGACGCTCTGTGTACACAAGGGCACACGCACGCCCGCCACTTCCAGCCCTCTGCACCCACGTTCTGCTCCCGGCTGGGGAACTGCCAGCACCAGCCGTGGAAACGGTTTTCTAGGGCACCCTGTTCAGTCCTCTGCCAAGGACCGATTTTCCCCTTTAGAGTAATTCATATACTGGGACCAGTTTACATCTAAGTATCCCTACAAGTTTCCACTACTCCCCGGCCAGATTTCCTAATTGCTCCTATTTTGCAGCCTAAATTTGATCTTTAATTCAATCAAGAAACTTCGTCCCTGCCTCTCTCTCTTCTGCTCCAGAAGATCCCTCCTTCTGTAACTCAAGTATTAGGGCTTGCCTGCACTTGAAAGTTCATTCTGGATTAGGGTAGGGAATAAATCTGAAATGCACTAACCAGTTTCTGAACAATTCTGGATAAGACTTATTTAGAAGTGGCCATTTCTGAATAACTTAATGCACAGGCAGGCCTATATGTTCCCTTCTGTTAGCAACAAGATCAGATAAAACATGATTTGTGCAAAGTGGGTCTATATTTTTTGCAACTACCCTCTCTCACTTAGTCTAAAAGCAGATAATAATCTCGCCCTTCAGTTTGCCTCACTTATATCCTCACACTGTCACAGCTAAAAGGTTACTACAAAGAGATCTAGGAATTCCCCAAATATTTGGATTTCAAGGGGTTATTTCATAGATAAGGAATGTCATATTCTCCCTTCACGCGTCTCTTGCATGTCTCTCCTCCATCCGGACAACAGAGAAGGAGTCTTTCTCCGCAGGCTGTAGTTCCCCCCGGCAGTTGCGGAGCGGTTCCACATGGCAGTGGCACAAGACCTTGTCCAGGTGGCAGCGCCACAGTCCCTGTGACATGTCACGGGGAGCAGGTCGCGCTTTGCGGGTGCTTGCAGAGCTCCCTGATCCCGAGCTACAGGTCTGCGCTTGGAGTGCCCTAATTGCTACATGCATGGGCAGATCTGGGCAGTGCTATGGGTGTACCTGAATTTCAGTTATTTAGGTTAGCAGCAAATTGCATGAGTTGGTTGCCCGGGGATCTGGGCAAACTACTCAAAGCAAAAGAAAGCCTCTGATGAATTAGCCAATATTTTTGTTTGTGGATGATGCCCCTGAAAAAGAAACAAAACCTCCCATTCTTAGCAGCATGTTTGTTACTCAGGATTACTCCATGAATCATTTGTGACTGAATTTATTGCAGCCAGTGGGTTTTTCCTGTCCTGCTTTTATTTTAATCTTTGGGCTCTGGCTATCCTAATTTTGTTTGTGCTGGGGGAGTGATTTCAGTCTCCCAAGTCCACATGGAGCTTTCAAGTTCGATGTAAATATGCAAGCACTACTTTTTTTTTTTTTTTTTTACCCTTTAGAGGTGTTTGCAAGCAAAAGTTTGCAAATTGACACACGAAAAAAAAAAGTCAGGTAAACTGCTAGTACTAAAAGGAATTCACAGATTTCTGATGAACAAATGGGCACTTTTTGCAGTATTCCCTCAGCTCTCGTTTCTCCAAGGCATAACAAAGTGGTAATGTCAGACAGACAGTATTAGATGGCATGGTCTTTGCTGTGTAACACATAGCTGTATCTCATACTAAACGCCATGGGCTTTGAACACACTCTCCCCACACAGACATTTCCCACCCTTTTTAGCCAAAATACAATGCTGCAAAATGAAATAATTGTAGTGCAAGGTTGATTCTACTGCAAGAGTCGGAGATGAGAAAAAGGAGAAAGAGGGAAAGAAAAACATCGTCTAACTGGAAGAGCTGCAGATGGTTAGATGTGATTGCGAGGGAACTGAAGGCAGCACTACAGAGCAGTCTCAGCTTTCAAGTATTGTGCTCCCAAGATCTACATGCCATTTCTTGGATGTGGTTTGCCCTGAGGGCAATCCTAACAGCTG